TATCTTCCAAAAATAGTTCGATCTACTAAAATACTTCTATATTTTCAATTTTATAATTTCTTCAATTGAAATGATTTTAACATGTACATCTTAAAGTGTAGAAAATATTGTGGAAACAAGTGCTCCATTTCTTTCTCTTATTTCCAACTTATTAAAATGTAATGCAATTCTTATATATAGAACTTTCATCCAAATTTGTAGGAACGATGTTTTAGTCCGTGCTTGATTAAATAAATTTTTATCAATATTCCACTTACTGTTTATGATCGAAAAATCTAGTAACGTGAAGATCAATGAACTCCTATTACATGAACTTAAATCGAGCACGTGAGTTATTTTTTCATTGATGGATCCAAATAAATGGAATTTAATCGCAAATGTAGGTTCGATACTTTTTTCCTATCGCAGATTCAGCAAATCTCTGCGAACCAGAGGTCGTTTTCATCGAGTACTCGAAACATTCGTAAGAGTAAATTATTTGTAAGAATGACTCAGCCTCATTTTAAAATCTTCTTCTTTCACATCGAGTACATTTCTTTTAAATGATGTTGCTACATCACCCTGAAAGGTGATAATTAAAGATACCTTCTTTCCTTGGAAAATTCAAGGAAATCCACACGTCGAAGAAAGTCTTTTTGCAACAAGAAGATCGACTGCGATCTCGAAGACTGATTTATCACACGTAACGTGAGTCTCTCATTAACAAACGATCGACTGTACTTAAAGGTGAATGTGTCCCGGGCAAATGTGTCGGAACATCCGAACATTCCTCCACTTTTTCCACGGGCTCTCGTGGGTCACCGGCGTTGGTGGACGTTCGCGTCCGTAATTCTGCGAGGAAGAGAGCGGCAGGACAGGTCCGGCGAGATGCTGCAGGGGGAAAGTATCGTTGCATTTTGATCGCGGAAGATCGTTACTCCCGATCGAGGCTCGCCGCGGCAGACTCACGCGCATACCACGAAGCGCGTGTTCCACCAGCCTCCGTGTATACGTGTGTACCAGAGGCGTTCGTACACGTGCGCCGCGCGTACCTACGTACAGTACCCACGTCGGCTCAAAGTTAATCTGGATTAACCGGTCTTGAATTTTCTGTGCGGAGAGAGGGCGGTACGACGCGATGTAGAACTGGGCGACGAAGCCCAGCAACGGCTCCAAAGGAGGGGAAAGCTCTCTGCTCTCTGTGTAAGGATGAGGCGATCGGGCGAGGTAACGTTGGAAACGTTGCGAGGGGTAGAGAGGGTGAGTGGACAAAAATCAAGATCAAAGAATTATGCCCTCTGGAGAGGAGCACCGGTTGCGCCGCCTCGTGCCTCGTAGACGCGGAGGCGCATTATGCTACGTCTATACTCGCTTAAAGCCGTTTGCAATCAGTCGGAGTATTGTGTCCACGAGCTCGAGCTCGTGAATGGTTCTGCAGGGAATCTTGCAGAAACTTGGAAACACGTTGGAAGAAGATCTGTGAGACTTGATTGTACCTAGGTATGTCATAAAGATTCGAGGCTTTTAGATAGAAGACGTGTGAATTTGAAATCTTGGAAGCTTCAAATACTTCCGCAGAAGATCTGTCGATTCGAATTGATGTAATAATTTTGAGCTTTTCTTTTCAGCTGTGAGCTTTACGTATGTTATTAGGGATAAATCACTATAAAAGACTGTCTTGAGTAGAATAAATCTTTCACCACATCATCCACCTAATATTGGATTTATCAGGCAATTTTGTTTTTGGATCTTTCTTATCACCTAGGCTACAAAAAAAACCACGAGAATTCTATTTTAAAGCTAAGTGATTGTCAATTTCCTCCAAGCTCGTGAACAGATTTTTTCATGTCTCCATACTGACCAGATCACAAGTAGTTACATCGATCACTTTTCTGCGCGCTAAAGTTTGCAAAGGTTACTATAGTCGCCGTTGAACATAGTTCGCGAATAGCAGTGTGGACGTGGCATTACGTGCTATCTCTCGTGAACGAGGATCGTGTATGAGGGATTCTCGTCTAGTTGGAGGAAGAACGGATCCCGTGGATACGTAACGATTGTATTTGTTTCGTCTTATTCAGTGAAGCATGAATGGTCTCGAGGATTCAGCCTTGGACGTTAGACGTTCCCTTGCGTCATATAGGTGTTGTTAATGATCCTGCTCGTTCGTGTATCGATTCTCCGCAGTGTTTATACAGACGATGGTTCGTTAGTTTTCTCCAAGAGAGTCGTGGTATTGATAAGGTTGCGGAAATGCACCGCATTATACTATATTATGCACACTTTGCGTTTCATTTCACCGTTGGTGTTTCGAGTCCTGTTCGAGTGCGGAGGATGTCGGGTCGTGTTGGTTTAATCAGGGTGAATATATTAGGACGATAGTTTATTTAACCCTGTTTTCCTCCTCACGTTTTGTTCGTGATCACTTTAGATATGCTTTTCTTTACATTTATTGCTTTTACATATTTATCTATTTTATATACATGTCTACTTGGATAAATATAATTTAAAATTCGAGCAGATTTTCATGCACTTATGGAAAATTTAAGTATTATATATAATACTCGTAGTATTTAATAGATAAAATGATTTTCTGCCTAGGTTCCATTTTATTATTTTTTTTATCATTTTCTAATTATAGAAAATAAAATAAAAATAAAATTACACAAATATTCAACTATATTATTATATTAATTCAATTTCAATATTCCACTGTGCATAGAATGCATAGAATAATTATTGGATAAAAACTATAATAAAAGAGCAATGTTTCGGTCCTGATTCAGGCATTTTTATGCTAAAATATATCATAATTCACTTTCAACGAACAGTCAGAAAGAGAAAAGTGGCAGCTGTTCTCTGGAAGACAACATTCGAACCATTGTGAATTCTTTCATTTTTCCAAGCTGCAAATAGCAGAGATAAAGCAAGTGATCATACGTTTGATAGTTTTTCGGTAAAAATACAGACTCCTACGAACACCGAGAAATTAATAAATCAATAAATTAGTAGAATCGAAGGAAAAGAAAATCGTCTGAACCAGGTGTAACGGTTGCCGGTGATAACGAACCAGTCGCGCTGTCACGTTAATTTAATTGGTCCGATTAGAATGCATTCGCGTGCACGAACATTGCTTTACGCAGCTAAGGTTATGCCGCACTGCGGTTTATCCATGTTAACAACACAATTAACTGCGCGTCGGATCGGTCTTCGAACGGTCGGATATCTGGACAGTGGAGGACGCATGTGTTTCAATTAGACCGGGTAGAATCGAACATTACTGTTCGAGGCGTTTCAACCGCCTCGTAATCGCGGTAATTTGGTGAATGGGTTATAAATTACAATCAAGTCGTACCGCTTTCCATAGATCACGAATTCTTATTTCAACGCCGAGTATTCACTTCGACGGTAGTTCCAGTTCATTCGTATGCACGATTAGCATAAATTTCGAAAAGCAGACCTCACGTCTCAATTCAATATCTGAAAGGGGACTTTCCAAATGCGTGTATTTTTGTAAGTTTTTTATATCACGATTCGATCACGATTTCGATCATATTTTAATTAGTACATGTAAAGAAATGGAACAATTATAGGCGAGCAGAGGTTTGTTCCAATTGTTGAAATTTTATAACATGCACTTTTGCATTCAGATATTTTACACATTTGTATTGTGCATTTTGGACATTCTTGAACCTTGGACACGTGGAATATTAACGTCATCGAATGAGAGGTTCCGGCTATAATGCGCGTCGCGATTCGTATTAATTATTCATGACGACGAGCGTTTAAAATGAAATTATAAGCAGCTATTCGTGCGTCACTTTGCCAAATCGGTAGGCACATTTAATCATTTAGACGGATTCAGCGTTTGCGAACGGAAATGCTATTTTGAGAGACGCAGGAAATGAAGAAACTAACAATCGAACAGACGCGTACCATTTTTATGTTAGTGAAAGATATTTATTGTATTTAATAATTGTCAATGTTTGAATAGCATTAATTCGCCATAAATATTTTATTTGCACTTGTATTGTATTTTGAGAAGAATATTATACTTGTAATAAATAAAAGAATACATAATATATATATTCTTCTCTTTATTACTAATAAATATAAATAAATTCATTACTATATCGAGGATAGGAAAACGATAAGAACCTCCATTTTTTTCACTTCTGGCGAAAATAACTTTCATTTGATTTTAGAAATATCAACATAAAATATTTTCAAATATTATTTTTACTCCGTGAAATTTAAACGAATCGTTAAATATAGTAGATATATTTCCTTGGTCAGTTATTCGACAAAATCTTGATCCTATCAAATCAATGCTTCTTCGTAAGAAATGTTTAACTCTATCTTCTATCCTTGAAATAAAATTATTATATGTTAATATATTGAATACGAATGAGAAAGAAATATTTGTTGGTAGCGTAGGCATCCTGTATATGTACGAAGACAATGTTGATAAATCGTTCAGAGATTTTCGTGGAAATAAATCTCTTATGGCACTCAGCCATGCGTGTATCCTTGGTGGAACACAATAGGGTTAAAGAATCCCTGATACGGCGTCAATTGATTAGCAATGGAGAACTACGCGGCAGCGTGGGCCGTCCAGATTGTCCTTTTTGAATTTGCAATCTTAAGATAGTACGCGTACGGTTGTGTTCGTTTGTCTGCTACGCGCACGTCACGATAATAAAGTCTTGCTCGTCATCTGCAGGTCGTCACAACGACACGACGATGTCGGAAATTTAACGAATTTTTCAGCGATAGCATTTACCCGATGGTTTTCGTTGTCGAATTGTTACAAAAGAAAAATTAACAGCGAGATGAGTTTCGAAGACAATTTAAAATGAAAACGAGAAATTGGAGATAGGATTGGAAGCACGATGAACTTAATGTCGAATATAAAATAAAATGATTGATCTGCAAAGTGAAGGATTCCCTCTATTGAAACTATTACCAAGTATTGTTATTAAATTATCAGTTGAAGTTATTGTACTTTCTATTTCTATTTCTACCAATAACAAGACACAACGGAGAGAAATTTTCTATATCGTATTCAGTATTCCACTTCACTTACTAAGGAACGAGAATTTGAAACACTTTTGCCATATGGAGACTTGGCGTTGGTATTGAAACAATATGCTCCGTATCTGAAATAAAGTACACATATGTAGATGTAAGCTATGGATCATGCTACAGCGAGATAGAGAACTGCATTTACATGTTCTTTGGGGTTGAATCTCCGAAATAGACTTCCTCGACGTCTGCGATCTTGTCAAAACACTTGTGCGCCGGAAATGCCTTCGGATTGTTTAGGGACTCTGCGTATATCGCGACAGATCTTTGATGACTGCACAATTCTATCAACGAAACACGTAATTTTCCCGTGGAAATCATAAATTAATGTAATTAATTAACGCGGTTGCAGAAGTTTTGATTTAAGGTTGAAACAAATAATTTTGAAGAAGTTAATGAAGAAGTATCTTTCAAATAAAATTTTAATAACTGTGAATAACTTTTTTAAAATATTGGATTTTTAACTGAAATAATTTTCACGTGATTCGTTGTATTTTAAATTCGTTGAGAAATAGAGTTATTCCACTCTCCTTTTAAAAAACTGTCCAATTTGTATGTAACAGATTTTTAAATTTCCTTAAAAGTTGTTTCCTAGCTCTAAATTCATACAAATTTTCTAATGATGGTATTTCGATATCTTTGTTACAGATGTAGCAAATTTCTTTTCGATCAATATTATAAGTCTTAATTTTAACATTTAGTATTTTGTTTGAATTCTTAAAATTAATTTATATTTGTTTTAATATCATTTTATTTTAATATCATCTTTTTCGATGATTGATGGGACAAAATTTTCTGATTGAATGACTCGTAAAATCCAAAATTGATAGAAAATCGCGGCATTTCATACGCGGCATCAACTTAAGAAACTTCAATAAAAGAAAAACAGGTAAATTAATTGATAAATTACAATTATCTCTTAGTAAAATCAATAATCTCCCCTGTTGAAATAAACGAGAAAGTATCGTAAAAGGAGCCACGAAAGAATATCGTAATACGGCTTTGGACGTTGGAAAAATAGCTGATTTTATGGATTGAAATTTAACTTCATCTTCTAGTCAAACAACCCTAATTTTCCTCGCGAGTAATATCATAGTATAAACATATAGAGGAGAAGAAGAAGAAGAAGAAAAAAAGGAAGATATCGTCTAACATCAAAAAGATATTTCACTACTGTTTCGAATTTTTTCACCCGGCTATCGACCATTTACGATCGATGACAATGATTACCAGTAACCAAACAACATAAGTGGATCCTTTATAAATTACAATGATAACCGGTTATCAGGTTGTAAGTGCTGTATTCGAACGCTATTAAAATTTTCTATACGTTCTATGATCAGCCACCGGAATGACTTAACGACGAACATTATGATTTACCTGCACCGAAGATTATAGGACAACCCGGTTGCACGCTGATCCCCTTGTTTGCGTAAAAGTCAACAGTACCCGTGTTGATAGCCGCCCCATAAAATCCACCATCAGTGTGAAGGATAACAACGACCTCGGCATCGGTCGATCTGATGTGACACGCAGACGGATAAAACAACGGAAATGCTGGATCTAAACCTGTATTTGAGAGATTAATTTTCTTTCTGGCTTGTTAATGTATAGAGGCCCACGAAAGTGTTTCAAATATTTGTAAATATCTCTGAAAAAGAAACATGTTACGCGTGTTGGACGAGATACTTTCAAATTAATTGAAAGTTAATCTCATCCTTCTCTTATTCTCTTTTTAGCGAATTTATCTCTTTTATTCCTCTTTACGTTTCTACTAAAAGAAACGAGACTTAGGACTTTAGTCTTCATTTGAAACTAAACTTTGAAAGTCATTTACAAAATTGATCGATTAATGCTCGTGATACTTTCTTCCTCATCGTAATTCTTATAAACATTATTTAACAAATGCGTATAACACTTTCCTCGTTACTCTAATTCTTGAAGGACGTTCGATTCACTCACCGGTTATTCGACTGATATTCGCGAATCTCCCAACATTGCCAGCTATGTGGGCACCCAATGAATGTCCGATCACGTGCAAAGTGTCTAAATCGATCAGCTCGATCAGCTGATTTAAAGATTCAGCAACTACTTTGCCTATCGCAGCTACTTGACTCGCCACGTAAACGTAATTAATGTGATACGCTATGTCCCCCCAATCGAGCAGGATGACGTTCACGTCTCCCTTGTCCAGATAAGCTGCAAACGTGATATCGTAAACTCGATCTTAATTTTCCCGTCGTTCGATCCTTTTTGCATCGCGTGATAGTAATATACCTCTAATTATTACCCGAACGTTCTCCGCTTCCGTGTTCTCCATGAATCCGTGTATGTAAAGGATGCTGTCCCGATCGGTCAAGATGGCGTCGGCGATGTTTCCTGGATTCGTCACCGTACTCTCGATGGACGTGAAGTGAGAGCTATTCCTGTAACGAAACGTTCATTATTTTCTGGATATTTCATATTCGTCGGAGTTTTGTTTGTAACAAGTATACAGCGAAGGTTTCTGGCTAGATTAATTTTTTAAATTTATATCCCAGAGAATTTTAAATTAATGTTATGCAACATTGTTCGTTCTGCGACAATCATAGAGATTCTTAAATTAATATTATATAAGAATATTCGTTTGTTACGCTGTATTCTGTTACGTATGTTCTTAACGATAGTTAAAATATTTCTTTTTCTACTTTTGTACTTGTTTATTTTCTACAATTTTATTACAATTATATTTAACTGTTAATGTCATTTTTTAAATATGAAGTAAAAAATCTACCCAGAAACCCCTGCATACCCCTGTACATATAGATATAAAACGAAATAAAGAATTGCTGTGTAAACTTGTACAGAATAATTATAGTTCATTGTACATTCCTTCCAAAACATTACAATGGAAATTATCACGACACTTGTGGAACACTAATTCATTTACAAGAATACCACGATAATTCACAAACCCTTGATAAACTTTCAAACGAATTTTTGTAATGATATCCCGAGTATCTTCTTCATCACCTAAATCACAGAAAACGTGGTTATTGAGTGCGATAATATTTTCTACCAGATGTAAGAACGATGTAATAAAACGAAATAATGCTAGTTCCTTCACCACGAGGAAGGGCAAATTAATTCATACGTACACGTTATCGCATTGATAACGTCTTTGCGCATCAAATGAAAAATCATATACAGACAGGCGTATACTTTTAACATTGTCACTTTCACACGAAGATGATTACAAAGGGAAGAAAGAAAGAAAAAAAAATGATCACACTATCCGTTCAGTAAACCAGTAGGGAATGTTTGTCCATGTTTTATGACATTCTAGCTCGTTATGGATTAGATTGGAAAATCTTTGATATATATATGAAGTACCCTCTCCGTGAGACTATAACCTCCTGTTGACGTAACAAGGAAGGAATAATGGCCGTATTGCTTTAATGCGAGGTAAAGGAGTCATTCATAGATTGCAAAACGTGTTTCCTTTTAACAGAACGCGTGATTGCCTGTTTGTTCAAAATCTTGGGACAAAAATTGGAAAAATTAACACTAAAACGATCAAATCGGTCAAAATGATTTCAGTTGTTCGCAGGATGTTGCAATATAGCGGTTTTGTAGATTTAAATGATTTTTGTGAAATGCGCGAATAAAAGTTTGAGTTTCTCTATTCTCCTGTCTCTTGCACTTTAATTTCTCTGACACAGTTTTTGTAACACATACGTTAGTCGTTGATTAAACAAGACTTTGTACACCGAGAAATCTGTATTAAGTATTAAGATACTTAACAATAATATTATAAATATGATCGTGCAATATTTTTAAATTTGATATTTCTTAGTTTAACTATAAGAATTTCATGGATAAACTTAACTACATTCTGCTGTTAAATTTAATTGTAGGATTTTGCATCTTCGTTTGGCATGGCAATGAAAATGAATCGATTCATGGAAAGATTCGAGCTTCTTCGACGAAGAAGTAAAGAAATAGGACGATGCTTTGTATTATTTTTTTCGTATTTCTATTTTTAACAAGGTTGAATTAAATTATGTGACATGTGTATCTACTTGTCTGCACAATAAATCTCATCGTGATCAGGAATTCGTGACATTTACGTAATCCTACTTCGAATTATTATGTTACGTTATAAATTGTGCGATTGTGAACACATGCACATGCGATACATTCAATAATAAATAACCCAATCTTTTTTTCTTTTTTTTTTTGAAATTTTACGCGATGATCCTTTATCTCTACGATTCTTTATTCTATAAAAGAATAAAATTATGCTAACATCCATAATAGTTCTTTTTTTTATCGATAAAATTGAAATTTCCATAATAAAACGATTTTTATCGTTCACATAGTTGCAAAAATTTTGACAGTGTGGATCAAGATTGCTTTTTATTTTCAGACGAATAACAATAAAATGTATTTGTTCAAAACATAAAACACCGCATAAAAATTTCACCGTACATTAAATTTTACCTCAATCTATTTTTAATGTAAAAACTGGGAACACCTTTTGATCAATGAAACCATGAAAACCTTGAAAACCACGGCGCGATCGAGCATCTCGCATCTAACACGCGCAAATCGCATTCTCCGCTTGACTCGTTAGCCTTACCACGCTGAAGAAATTTCCTCGGTTCGCCATTCCCAATGGTCGTATCCGAGTATCAAATATCCAAAAAGAAAAAAAAAAAAAGAAAAAAGAAAAAAGGATTCAACCTCTGAAAACGCGGCGAAGTTTCACTTCCGGCACTCACCTACGCGCCACGCCGCACGGAACCGCGATCTCTCGCGTTCTACCGGTCAGCCACGGCGTTCGTTAATTGAATCTTCTGGGTTAAGCGATATCCCGCGGGACGAATCAGACGACTCCCTCCCGTGGGCGTTCGCAGGTTAGAGCGACGCGTGAATACCGCGGCTCTTCGGGCCAGCGCGAAACATCGGCCATTAATAACACCGTGTAACGAGTATAGTTTAAAGCGCGGGTACCAGCATGTCTTCCTCCTACCAACTTATGCTCTCGTGGGCTTAAACATCTGCATCCCGATGTCGTGATATCACGCCGGCTCTGCTTCGGCTACGAATCTGTATGTACAGGGTGTCCACTGGTAGAGATTTAAATTCGTCCAATTGACTGTAATTGGAGTTCGTTTCGATAAATATTCTGGAATATTCTAATAATGCTTGCACCTGTTACTTCCTTGTTCACTGCAAGGTGTAAGTTTAATTTTAGTTTTTGTGTATAAATATGTATATGTGTGTGTGTGTACAGAATCTGTATGTATAGGGTGTCCACTGGCAGAGATTTAAATTCGTCCAATTGACTGTAATTGGAGCTCGTTTCAATAAATATTCTGGAATATTCTAATAATGCTTGCACTTGTCACTTCCTTGCTCACTGTAAGGTGTAAGTTTAATTTTAGTTCTTGTGTATAAATATGTATATGTGTGTGTGTGTGTGTATAGAGGGTGTTCATTGGTAAAGATTTACCATTATCGACTGTCAGTCAGGATTATCCTAATCTATATCCAGGAATATTCTAATTGTTCTTATCTTCCCCAGTTTGATTCTAATTGCACATTAATTGATCAGAAACGATTGAAATAATTTGCAGAATGTCATCACTGTATGTCTCATATGTTTTCACTATATTTTACAGGTAAAAACCGATTAGAACGATACTTCAAAAACACGAGTCTTATCCTATAACTTGTAAGACAAAGAATAATTCGAAACTTTTGCCAAGCATTTGTCGACTTGTTGTTAACGTGATATGTAGACCACGCTGGCAAAATTTCAATTAAATTTAAATGGATATAAGTGACTCTCCGTCGATTTATTTATTTGTAAACACGTTATAATTTCGTCCGAGCATTATTGCGAATTTCAATCGAACACCCTGTACGTATATGTCTGCCTACGTAATGTAGGTGGGTTGGCGGGTAGGTCGTTTTTGTATTAAGTGTGTTCGCGATTTAGACTCGATGAATGCGCCGTTCTTGTGCACCAGCCACGAGGCGGACAGATTCCCTTTTCCTTTAAGAATTTCATCGCCCTCGAACACCTCTCTTCCTTTCTCTTCGAGTATCTCGTGATCGCCTGAAGCCGAGAATGCGTTCAAACAATGTCGAAATACAGTTGCTCACGAAGACTCGGAGGAATTTTTTATAAGCACGTAGTGTGTGTGCAATGTAACGCTTCGAAGTTTGAAAGAAATTTAAAAATGTATATGGAAATTCCCAGACATTTGATACAAGTAACATCTGGTAGAATGTATTCAAAGAGTGATAATTTATTAATAGTAAAGTATAAATTACAATATTATTTCGTTACGTACACTTGTCAACATTTATTGTATGCTTAAATGATTAACAACTGGTTAATAATATTTTTCGGTAATATCTGATTAATTTTGGAAATATTACTTTTAGAAAATATTATTAATTAATAATGGTATGTATCACATACTATACTGATTAATACATATCAGTACTAAAATACTATTCATTAATTTTTAATTAACATTTCATGCGTGTAATTTTGTCATTTACTAAAATTTCCATTAACTTTAATTAGGTATAATCGCGTCTGATCATATCATATTTTAATATCGTAATTACACCTAGAGATCTCATATGAAATTGTTTAACTTCAATTAAATTCTTTCGTATGCCGCATGCATCTACACGTATTCTTTCGAAGAACTTGTTCGTTTCATCGCGTAAAGAACGGCATAAAGCTAAGTACAGTATAATTTATTTATACCGGTGAAAACTGTTCCTTCGAGCAATAAAAATTGTACGAAGGAAGGAAAAAGTGAATTGACGTTTTAGACAAATCGTCGCTCACACTGTTTAAAAAATTATATGTTTACGTACTGTTCAATTATGACTTATTACTGATACGTTACGGTTGTTCGAAATAAAATAACACCGAACGAGCCAACTCCTCTATAATTACCGAACATTTCGATGTGTGTTCCACGAACGAATAATTACGCATAAAATAATAACCAATTCATGAGCAAACGAATCATTAGACCGTGTATTACATTGAGAAAACATGATGTAATTCCTGGTATAATACGCGGAAGAAAACTCTGTTCGATCTTTTTCTTCCTTTCAATATAAAAACGACAAAATTATTATGAGTGAAAGACTTTGTGTTTGTGAGCAAAATCGTTAAATCATACTGTACAGATTAAATGAAAGAACATGCAAAATCATATTAAATAAAATACTTTACTTTAGAAGTTACTTTAGAAGGGTTCAGAATTATATATAAAAATTTCAATTAGATTTAAAACCCCACCGATTCAGATTCTATAAATTAATAAAACTATCTAAGGCATTGATTACTTTACGCACTTGAAATTATATCTAAATCTCACTAATCATGGTACACAAATTTTCATTGTTTACTTAATATCACTATAAATTCATCACATCTAAATCTCCTCACTGATCTCGTCCTAATTCCAATATTTTCAAACACAAAATTCCTCGATAAATACAGTTACAAAGGGTTGTAACTTCTACAATCATTTCTTATCAACAGAGCTTGAAACACGGCGGCCAAAGTTTGATACGTGCACGCAGTCGATCCAGAAAGGAAAAGAAAAAAATCGGTAAAAGCGACGACCGTCGTAAACGGGCTGGCAACACAGCCTGGAATCGTGATCCCTTCGTGTTCGTTACTTCTGCGAATCGACGAACAGTTTCTAATCCCGTCCCCGTGGA